TTCTTCTTCTTGGTCTTCTTATTCTATTTTCTTCTTCTACTTATCATTTTATCATTATGATTACCGTTATTATCAAACACCACCACGAAGACTTAATATGTGGGACAATTTAAGAAACTTTTGACATCACGTTTGGAGGCAAACTTTTTTGTAGAGAGGATTGGACCAACGTTCTTTTGGGAAATGGGTTATCATTACTTAAGTGTTCCTTGCCCTATTCTTTTGGTGGACATTGAGAATCTCTTTGTGGATATAAAGAAGCATTTAATATTATAACAAACTGGGCCTATCATTAATTAATAAACTGTAAATACATTTTTTTTTTAAATACAGCTTTGAATGGAATTTCAACCCAGGATATAGGTAAGTAGAACAGATTTATATCTCTTTTGAGGAAAAAATAAATAAATAAGTAAGTTATAAAATTATAATATTCGTTCATTAGATTAAAGGAACAGTTGAGTTCTTGTTTTAGTCCGCAAATGCCTTGGTACATGGTTCTTGCTCTTATCCTTATTTATGACATTTCTATATGCCCTTTTAGGACCTAAAATTGTTATGAAGGTCATTCTAGAACCGAAAATGTGTGAAATTTAGCGACTGTTAATTAATTGATAATAACAATACACAAGCCGACTGGTTGAGTTTATTATAACCAACACGAAAAGGCTAACAAAAAGGCTCGAATAAAACGCTATTTCGTTTTTTTTCAACTGCTGGTTCATATTATCGAATATTTGTGGGGCACCACAAATATTATAAATCGTTATATTTATGGATATTTAAGCCTTTCCTATCCCGATTCCGATCAATCAAAGATGATGTTGTCATTTAAATTGTAACTAATTTCAAATTTGACACTCAGTTTTTCATTATCTCACCTGAAGATCATTTTGTGTAGTGCCCTCTGTAACAAAACTCAACTAAGCCTATCCCTTTAATATCATTTTACTTACTATAAACAATTAATAATTTCAAGTTCTGTTGTTCCTATGTGTCAATTGATGCAACTACCCGCGAATAGATTGTATATATAAAAGTGCATTTACTTTTGTTATCACCGATACATTATTCCCATTTCCGTGTTTTTCAAAATACAGGGATCATTAGCGGTGTAGCCCTTGCGGCCTTGGGTATTCTGTTGGTCCTTGGCCTCCGCAAATACTGCCGAAGAAGGTAAAGCATGTGGATAAGTTAGTTGGATATCTCTTTATTTCATAGAAAATAATTTTGGTAAACATATCCTATTGTCTGTTTGTTTGTTTGTTTTACCTGACTGCTAAGAAAGCATGTGTATGCTTGCAAGTAAGCAACCAGGGGACCGACGGTTTTAAGTCCTCTTCGAGGGACTTTGTAATTAGAAATAATGCCTGACTAAAGGCAACTAGCGCATGGAATCGGTTTCGAAGCCGGGACACCCCGGTAACAACACCGATGATCTACCACTAAGCCATTTGGCTTCGTCTCAACACTTAAATAAATCACCCTTATTAAAATGCTTGATATCAAGACTCATTTCTTCTTTTTATTTTTTAAAAATTATATAACTTGTGTTGAAACGTCAACACAGAGCATAACATAATGAAAGTCTCATTTCTTTTCATTCACCAGACGTAAACGGCAAGCTTACCATGATGAACAGGGGATATCTGACATAATGTCTTCAGCCCGCTTTGATAATCCTGTTTACCAGTCGGACAAAGAGGTACAAGGAAACGTGCCACCTCCTGTCAGGCCACGTCCCATCATCTCCCTACCCGCTGACAATGAAGATGGAACTGATGTCTACGCAGAATATATCTACATAGATCGCCCTGGAGCACGCGTAGAATTTTCGTCATCCCATAAGGATCTTAGTGAGAACGAAGCCTTCGATAACGGAGAGTACATCTATGTCGTGGACCCGGTTGGAAATACGGGATGTGTTTGTGACGTTGGGCCATTCGGAAGGAAATCTGCCAGTCCGCTTCCATCTGCCCCACCACCATCTGCAGGAGAATATATCTACTTCGACCAATCTGTTTGTCCAAAGACGCTACCTGAAGCTGATGAGGAGTACATATACATGGAGGAACCAACGGCGTTGAAGTCTCCTGGAAGACCACAGGCCACTACGCCCTCTCCGTTTAGCTCCCCTAGGAAGCCGGCACCGCCCATAGCAAGCGTCCGACCCCTCCCTCTAAAACCATCGTCGAAACCTAGCGGGGGTAGTGATGACATCATAAAGGGAGGTGGCAACATTTACGAGGAGTTGCCAGAAGGTCATCCCGATGGAATGGCGGATCGTAAGGCCTCTCCAATGAAGTCAGGTGGTGTTCTGGAAGGTGACGTAGATCTTGATAATGACCTGTACTTGCAACCTGCATGCATTGCGAAGTAAACCCCTTATGGAACTTGTTGACGGTGAACGAAAGTAAATTCTTGACCCTTTAGATTTTGAAGATAGCCATGCGTTTTCTGTTATTAGAATAATGGATATTAAAGGTGTTCAGATAGCATTTTCAACTTGATGGTAATTATTGGTGGCTTTTCAGACCTACAAATCCAATTGACAGTAAATCCTTGAACCTGTACAATATATCAAGCTGTTCTTTCAATATTGACATCCATGTTTTCTTTGTAATTTAATTTACTTTTGCCTTCGTTTTCACACACTCATCAGCATGTCGACTTCTCTAGAGTACTATGTATAGTGCATGGTCTCCTTAGAATTTGCTTTCATTATTATTATATTATGAATATGTGTAACCGTAATATGTGTATAATATTGTGTAACCTGTAATTAATATTTAGTACGACGTTATGTAAATTGATGTAGTATAACGGTGTACCTATATTAAGTCTTAGTATAATGCGCAACAACCTCATGTCATGAATTTTGTTCAATGGAATTATCAAGTTTCACATAGGCCTAACGCTTTATAGTAGCTAAGTCTTCATGGGATTATTGTGAATGACGTGTCTTTAGATTAAAAAGAAGTAGAACTTCGTCCATTCACTTGCAAAGATGATATGAAAAACCACTGAGAACGTCAGTTTGATTAAAGGCCCCAAAACTTTTCTCCACATGTCTTTGATTTTAAGTTCGAAATAGCAATATATGAACAATGAACACGTTCGAAACCACTTTCGAAAAATCAACTCAGGGGCAATTTTAATTGTACATTATTGTTCATCTCAAAGAAATCATGTTCAGATTACGTAATACGTTGTTGTAATATCCGCGCATTTCAAAACGTGATTGACAGGGTTATCGTTGTTGCCTTAATAAAGTTGACATTTCGATAGTAGTTGCGACCGTGCTAATGTTAAAGCCCCATTGCACTACTCAAAGCTGTTTGCGCCCTCTTTATAGCAAACAGTGCCTAATCGGTGACCATTGGTCCCCCATGGTCCCCTTTTTTCTTAGGTTAATTGAGAGTTGATTTGATGAGATAACCACCTGTCAGTGACAATGCAGGGAGGTCTAATCCCTCCTGGCCAAACTAGTGCAGATAGGCTTTAAGCTGGTAATATTTTTGTCTTCTACAAGTGGACTTTTAATGAAGAGAGATGATGCTGCTTTACATTTCTTGACAGGATGTAAACCAATTTAAATTACAATGTATCTTAAAAGTACAATTGAGTTATCATTGGTAGTTCTGACGCGTATGACGTAAAACATATTGATAGGAGATACTAATTTGTACGTATTCTCAACTGTTCTACTTATCTCTTCAATCGACGCCGTTGAATATACTTGTATTTCACAACTCAAGCTCAATCCATTAGTTTCATTCACACATGTATAACAAGATTGACACAATCAAACATGTAACTTTCAAAGGCATGTAATGTTTTAGGTGTAAGAACAGTTTGAAGTATCCTGAATAAATGAAATATATATTACGAAGACATTAAGCGTTGAGAGAAGATTGAAATTATTTATTAACTTAATGCTTTCAACACTTGTAAATAGAAATGATCGAGGTGGCCGTATTATGCCGTAATGAAACAGAAAGCCACAGAGTCAGAGAGAAGGGAAGAGAGATGGAGAGAAGATAACGGGACAATAAAAGAGGAACTGAAATAAGAATATATAAAATGCTTTTGTTTTGAAGACTTCATTTGGTTTTGCACACACACACAACAATAAGGAGAGATGACGAATACGAGAACAAGCCAATTTGAGATTGATGTTAGAGGACGTGTTTGTATTCATTTAGCCGCAACGATCAAGTTTCTCCCTATAATAATCCCCGTATGACGATCATAAAACGGCCTACTCATTCTTATACAGGGTGTATCATAATAAAGGATATTGAAGTTTAATGACGATTTATATGAAAACTACTGATTTCATAATCAAGCACTTATGTCTGTTGTAAAGGACAGAATGTCCTCTTTTTAATGACACCCCAATCATACTTCTACTGTCACAGTTGACTGAATAACAAAGCATTGCTGTCCACCATGTGAAAGGTGCACTGTGACAAGTTAGCATTCAAAGACTAGTGCTTGTGTCAGCCCAGACATATTGAAATGCTGAACAATGAGTGGATTATGTGTCTAAGAAGGAAATGTTATCAAACTTGGCACAGTGCACCTTTCACATGGTGGACAGCAATGCTTTGTTATTCAGTCAACTGTGACAGTAGTAGTATGATCGGGGTGTCATTAAAAAGAGGACATTCTGTCCTTTACAACAGACATAAAATGCTTGATTATGAAATCAGTAGTTTTCATATAAATCGTCATTAAACTTCAATATCCTTTATTATGATACGCCCTGTATAATGGAATTCTCTTAACTCCACTTCTTTGAACACTCAGCGGCGTACTGGTATAGTTAATCCTTATGCACGCAACCAACTTGCATCACAAACGGGAAAAACGATGACGTCATACTTTGCGGCGTCACGTATACTTCACGCGATTACTTAATGGTTGATAATTAAACCGATCAGTCAACATTACCCGATAACCCTTTTAGATTGGAATGGAATTTTGCCTTTGTTCAACCAAAGCTACGCAGTGTATCAGAACACACAACGAATTGGTGTTAAGGCTTTGGTAAGCCAATGACCCATGAAGTAATAAATTTAATTTTGTGTGAATCACGCGTGATGAAATAATAAGAATGATCATGAAGAGTATCATCAAAAGACATTTCGAATAGACGTTGTATTACTTATTCATGGATCCCGTCACTGTCGTAAGATACTTATCAATTACCGTGTTTTTATACATTCCCTCGACCTTTAACATAGATATTTTTGTCAAGCGCGTGAAGACAGGAGACTTAAGTTTCATAGCTTGATTGGGCAAGAACTTTAACTCTTCTTATCTCCCTCGTCTGGAAGAAGCTATGTAAACGTTTTACTGACATACACACACTACATCCCACCCATGACACAGTAGTCCTTAAAACAAGTGCACATTTCGCTATGTATTTTAACCGACGCCTCTTGGAATAACGCTTTACTTCAAGGTAAGTTAGAGATATTCTAAATTGTTTTGGTTTTATTGTAATGCGACATTTCATTAGCAGTTAAAATAAAATGTATTTCACTACGATGTCAGAGAGATACATAAGTGCTGCCGGCTAGTAGCAATAAGTTTTGAATGTAGCGTCGTCATTATAATGAGCATATACATGTAGTTGTTTATCTCTATGACGGTAAACTGATGATTGTGATAATATATAATTATCATGAAATATCGAATGATAGATCTTTTTGGAAGTTGATAAGAGTAATGCTAGAACGCCGAGTAAAATCCATTTAAACTAAAAAATAACGACACTAGTTCCGAGAGATGTGCATCTCTTTATAGCATATTATGTCATATATTAATTATGTCATATAATATATAATTAACTTTGATACGTTATATCATCACGTCTCAATAACGGGGGCCGTATGGTAACGGTAAGTGGGGATGTAGATAAATCACGTTTTAGGTTCATAGGTCTTTACCAACTCTCTGTAATATCTTACAAACTTTTGCTTATAATCGTCTACAGTTTAAAACGATAAATGTTGTTATTTTTTCAGTTTCCAAATACGTATAAATCAAGCGTGTCAAAGAACGATGACTGTTTGAATGTAAACAAATCATTTGTATATGTCCTTTCCATTTGTGTTAGTGGATATATCCCTGGGTCGGCATAGGACTTACAGGGTTTTTGCAAAAAATTAAATATGATCCTATTATACAAGTTTCGTGGAAGCCTCTAATTTGGGTAATACAAGTGAATAATTAATTTTATCGTGAAAAAAAGCAGAAGAGAAGACCCGTTATCCCTAACTTTACTGCTAATGATAAAATTATTGCTTTATTCGGTAGAGCTACATCAGCATACATACATGAGGAAATAAGCAAGCCACGGAAGCACAATGGATACCACTTCAGCTGAGGCACCAACAGTAGATGTACATGACGACACCAACTCGCCTGGGGACACGACCGGTACAGGTGAACAGCATAACAATTCAGGAAATGTACGTCTCCCGTCGTACTATCAATCAACCCCATTGGTCAGTGCACCTGTTTCCCAACAGGATGACATCACCCAGCCCGGGGAATCCCCGATACAGCAGACTGGTGACGACATCACTGCTGTAGATATCAATGTAGACCAAGAACAAGTGACGGTATCAAATGGACTATCAACTTCACATCCAGTGGCCCAAGAACAGAACCCATCAATGCCATATCCACCGCAGACTGACCAACAAACGAATTTCGCGTACCCTCCTGCATCTTTACCTTATCCAAATCCTGCTACGAACTTGCCTTATCCACCATCGGGCGTTACTGAAACCCCAGCGTTGTTCCCTGAGCAGTACCCTCCACCCGTGCCAACCTATCCTCCCACTAATGGCACAGAACTGCAGATGGCTAACAACCCTGGTGGTGAACCAGCAACGACCACTGAAAGCCCCCTTATAGAGGATGAGGGCGTTACTCTTGCGGATGGCCAGGTGGTGAATCACGGACGACATCCACTCTTGAAGTTACCGTCTTACCATGGGGGTGGGCAGTTTCCTTCAGAGCCGCCACCGTCGTATGAGGACAGCAACCCGATACCAGTGCCACAAGCCATGAATCCAAGGCAGCCATCCAGTGCTCCTCAACCAAGCTATACGCCACCAAGTAAGTCATGTTTCCTCATATGCAGCATAACTCCTAGAATAAGGGGAGTGTTTCACAAAGACTAAGATCGACTTTAAGTTGGACTAAACTATGGCAGGCCGTTCATGCCACTGTTTGCTTTCATCACTTACTGGTATTGGTCTATCAAGTGACGTACAAATCGTGGTCACCAAATCGACAGAATGTTCATTTTGTTTAATAGTTCATTATTGAAGGAAAATTTTTATCTAAAGATCATAATTGTGAGAGCAAACAGTGGCATGTACGGCCTACCATATAGTTGGGTCCAACTTAAAGTCGATCTTAATCTTTGTGAAACACTCCCCCGGTATTGTGTTCGGCCATTAGCCATTACGTTATTCTCATTTAAAATCATTAATTTCAATCGAATTAGGCACTTCGTTTCACCAGTAGGTCATTTGAGGAGTTGCAACTTGGTATCACACCGATCTATTCAGTCTGTTTATAGCGTGTGGGTCTTGTCTGCACTGGACAACAACCTAGGTTTCAATGTAGTAGCGATCCACAAGAGGCACTGGTGTTCAACAGTGAGTGCACTTTGGATATTTTTTTAACTTGGTCAAGGTTCTCAAGAGAGGCTGTTGGTTGAATCCTCGCTCGATGCCTATACCCTAGCAGGGTCAAGTTCTTTTTTTTCTCTCTCCACCCAAAGTGAAAATTGGGTAAGCTTTTTTGCAGTGCTGGGGTATGATTAAAAGGCCCTTTATAGGGAGAACAGCATTGTATATAATAACGCGTATAAAGCTGCATGGGGAAACAAATTTATTAGTAGTACCATTATTAGTATGACCGTTACTGTTAATTATTATTATTATTATTACCATTATCATGAATATTGTTATCTTAATTATCATAAATCATCCTAATCTTGCCAGTAATGACCTCAAATAAATTCCCATTAATCCTTTTAATTGAGGAAACAGCCAACATTATTATCATGATTATTATTGTTCTTGTTATCATTACAATCATTATCGTTGTTGGTGTTATTATACTCGTTTTTTGCAGCAGCTCAGTTGATTAGTCGTAACTTCGGCTCCACACCGATCTACACGATCTGCCCAGCCTGCGGCGAGGAAGTCAGGACAGTCACCGTGTTCGTACCAGGCGCGCTCACCTATGTTATGGTCTGCATTTTCCTAATGCTTGGGTAAGATTCACAAATGACCCGTTCACACTTCGTTCCAAACTACCCGATTTGACCCATTATTAATGACATACGACCCAGAGCAAACTTTAAAGGTAATACAAAGTTTTGTTATGGGGTCATGAATTTGGTTCAAATAAACATATTGGAAGCATACGCGATCCTACGATATTCAGTGATCGTTGTCGCGGTTGAAATCGAGACTAAAGTTATGAAATTGTAAATAATAAACTCTTTTTGTTGTATAGGTCCCTCTCAAGGTCAAGATATCAATTAAGCCATACAAAATGTTTCTTGACTAAAATCGACCGATTGGTTATTCCCGTTTGGAAATTACATATCACAACTGCATATTCTGAGATTTTCATGGTCGCAGCTACAACTGTATGGCCGTAAGCGCTATTTTAAATTCATCAACAATTTTCTCAAAAGCAGAAGTGTTTTAGTGGCCAAATTTTCTAGTGCTTATAATTCAGCCACATGGTCATTAAAATATATCAAAATTGTAAAGAATCACTATCCAGCCAATTTTCAAAATCTCCCAAAACTTTGTTTTACCTTTAATTTCAAAAATCACATTAATGATAATTGTTCACAAAGACCTAGGCGATGAGAGGCGAACCGAAATGGAATCGTATCGATACAAAAATGATACAGTTACTAATGCTCCCTTGCTCTCCTTCGTTAGAGGGGAAGTCCACCCTGAAATTAAGTTAGTTTTAATAGGAGTAGAAAAATGAGAGAAACAAGTCAGTGAAAGTTTGAGCAAATTCCGATTAAAAATAAGGAAGTTAGGATTTTTGAAGTAGTGATCAATCAAACACAAATTGGCAACTCTATGACGTATCATGCGAGCTCAACTTCCATTTGCTCAGTACTAAAAAAATCTAAAATTTTCATTTTCCCTCAAGAAAAATTTCAACCATACATGCACCCTAAATATAATAATTGCAAATATGTTTCTATACTCCCCCTGCAAGGAACAGATATATATTCCGTTATCAATAACGAAGAAAACATGATTTTATGGAATATTATGCACAAAGCAAATGAAGGAGAGCTCGTATAAGTCACAGAGTTGCCAATTTGTATTTGATTGATCACAACTTCAATAATTCATAACTTTCTTATTTTCATTCAGAATTTGCTCAAACTTTCACTCACCTGATTTTCTTATTATTCTGCCTCTATCGAAACAAACTTATTTTGGGGGTGGACTTTCCCTTTAATACACATCCTGATTTACTATAAAAGGCCGATTGCAAACATGCCGCCATTCCGGTTGCTTTTGACATGCGTTAGTAAAGACTGAGAACGGAGTTGGCCCACATACCAGTAATTTAAAGAAGAGTTTGGGCTGTTAATGCAGCAATCACTTTTTGTTTGTACGATGATATTACTCATCAAACACACGCCGGTTGTTGATGCAGTCCTAGCCCTGTTTCATAAAACTTGTTATCAATTTCAAATGCTAATTTGCATGACAAATTTGCTCTCTGCGAATAAAATGCAACGATTACAGTATCTTATAACAGTTGTTGAACTATTTGTTATTGATAACAACTTTTATGAAACAGGCACTGGGTCAGGAAGTGACTGTTCATAATTATGCAAGGGGTATTATGGTCGACGGCGCGTTACGGAGAAATATAATGTTTGGAGGCAAAAGGTAGAAAAACTCTTAGGATGATATTTACGAAAGCGGAATAACTTTAGTCCATGGTTTAATCCACCGACTAAGTATGAAATGCCAAGTAGCCATATGAATATATATTTTGAATAATTTAATATGTCCCTAAATACCATGATAACATAATTATATCATAGTTATATTTTAGTTTATTAATTATGTTAATAGATTTTAATTTAGTTTAGTGACAGATTAAATTATTCAAAAACTTTTTCATATGGATACTTGGCATTCGATACTTAGTCGGTGGATTAAACCATGGACTAAAGTTAATCCGCTTTCGAGAATACCGCCCTTATAATGTACCAAAAAGTTAACGCCCTTCTAGCTCTAAAGAGACGGATTGATGTTTCTACGAATATTGTTCCCATTTAGAGGAACACATCGAAAGAGGTACCAAATGTCAAAACTGCTATTAAACTTCAGCTAATTAACTACATGTATATTCATTAATGAGTTCTGTTCCTCTTACTATGACGTCTTCCGCAGGTGGTGGTTCCTGTGCTGTTTCTTACCGTTTTGCGTGCAAGGCTTCAAGGACGTCCATCACGTGTGTCCAAACTGCAAGAAGACCATCGGTAGATATGACAGGATCGGCAACTGAGACGCATCAGAAACTGAAAACCACGTTTCCATATTAATTTTTGTTTTGTGATAAACATTATTTGTTTTCTTAATATTATACGATTTTCACTTAATGTGACTTAAATCTTCACAATGCAACGCATATGTTTGTAGCATTAACTGAAATCGAATTGAAAGTGTTGCGAATATCATAATGAAAGTTTAAATATGAACGGTTTTAAAGAAGCGTTTGCCTTTTGCCTATTTGCCTTTTTTCGGGGGGGGGGGTATTGTTGTTATATGTCCGTTTCCACCAACGGGCTTACGTTACGTTACATCTAGGCCCTGTCAGATATTAAAATGGTTACAACTAATCATATATCCCCAAATGTAACCGTTTCTCCTTTTATCAATTGTGAATTTGCAATGAAATGTTATCTTTACTACACAGTGCATGGAAGAAAATACGCTTAAATTGTTGCACGTTTTATAGATACAGTATATGTTTTGGATTGTAGATCGATTGATATGTTACGGGGCCTAGGACACGTATTGCTCCGCAATTTGTCACGGACATCTGAAATCGGCACAGCAGGATTTACGAAAAAGAAATACGTTGATTTTGTTTTGATTATTTTTCTTGGATTATGCGATTCGAGCAGACTTCTTCTGAATAGCAGTTTAAGAGAGACGTGCACAGACACCGAACTTTAACTTTATACTTTTGTGTTGAATTTATTTAACGCTCATATGTCTATAGTATGACGTAATCCTAAATTCAATTCTCGCCTAGTTTGTCAATATTGCAAGGTCTAATGCGAGATAGTATAACGAAGGAAATAATGAGAGAGATCACTTCTTATAGAGGCAATACATTATTATAAATAAAAGAGATAAGTAAAGACTGTGGCCACGCTTAATGGACTACATATTCCTTCTACTTAAATAAGTACATCCCACCTAACACCTCTGGAAATCCAATTCGGTTTTTTAAAGAAATTGAAATAATCATATTTGTTTCAACGTTTCAAAACTTATTGATGATCATTGATCACATGACATAAGGAACCCCAAGTAAATGTTTCGATTTTTTTAAATCTAATGATGCCTAAAAATCCTACCGCATCGGGTAGCAAACGAGTTGTATATTATGTGATGGAATGATCTTCATTTCCACTCAGAGCAGTTTCCGGCATCCCCTAACGGTTCGATTATCTTCTTAGCTCTACATTATATCTAGAAAGCATAAAGCATCCAATTAAATATACAGATGCCTTTAAATATATTTTTGTTTACATAATACTTGAATAAAAGTAAATATTTCAATAAGCACTGTTTTTTAATTATTTTCAAGGCTATTGAAGTAAGACTATTCTGTCTTGAAATCAAGCGGGTCTATACTTCCTAAGCCTTATGTATATGATGTACAGTATTACAATTAAAAGTTGTATTGTTATATTTCTTATAAAATAATGTACCTGAAACTGCAAATGATACGTTAGTGTACTACCAATTTATTTTAATAAAGTGCATATAAATTTCCAAAGCATTTTCCAAGCTTAGTGTTCTCCAGATTCATAAGAAAAGAATTGTATATCTATATAGATTGGTGTGCAATTTGCTTTTGATTCATATTTTATAGTTCATATTTCTGGCAAGATATTCTTAATTATTCTATTACTATGTTTTTTAAGTTTTACTTCCATTTTTTGTCCAACCTTAACCCACGTCCAACTGAATGAAAACATTTTAGAGGGTCACTGATTGGGCCACTTCAGTGGCTGAGTGTTCCTTGGTAATTTATTGGTTTCTAAATCAAATAAGCCATTCTTTTTCACTCTCTCTCTCTCTCTCTCTCTCTCTCTGTCTCCTCTCTATATCTCTCTCTCTCCCTCTGAGTCTCTCTCTCTCTCTCTTTCTCTCTCTCTCCATACTCTTTTTCAAATCTCTTTTCTTGCCCTATCATCTCGTCCATCTCTTGTTCTCTTCACTGTATGTATGTGTGTGTTTGTGAGGATGTGGATGTGTCTAGTATGCCTGTGTTCATCAGGGGCCCGTTTCATAAAACTTGTTATCAATAACAAAATGCTAAATTTCAATGATAAATTTGCTCTTAGCCAATCAGATGCCATGATTTCAGTAGCTTATAACAGTAGCTTGTAATTTGTTATTGATATCAAGTTTTATGAAACAGGGCCCAGGTGATTGATGTGCAACTGTCGTCTTGATTTTATGTACTATTGGTATAATTACTGTATTTTAATTTAAAATATTTTATTGTTAACTATCATTTTGTTAAACTCGGACGCTGACCTCAAGCAATTTGCTTTTGAGAGGATTCCAAAACTTTAAATTGTGAATATATTGATGTATTTTATTCCTGTGTTCACATTGTTTTAAAATGGAAAATGCCTGAAATGAACGATGTAAAATGTATTATATTATTGAATATTATATTGTATATCTGATTTCTTGTCAAAATTACTGTTCTGTTGGAAATGAAAAATAAAACTGAAACTGAAACTGAAATTGAATTGAAATAAACTATGTTTTGCTTCTAACGTTTAAAGACCTACTAAGGACACATCATTATCATCAAGCCAACAGTGTGCAATGATTTTCTAGTATTGTTTGTTATATTAGTAAAAAATATAAAGATTTACACTAACACAGTGTTAATCATTCTTACTCCCGTAAGCATGATAAGGACAGCAAACAAGTTTGTCAATAATCAAGTCAGATTAAAAAACTACTCGCTTATCATCCAATCGGCCAACAAGTAGGGATTATAATAAGATCAAAGAGGGCTTTAACCATACAAAGTTGACAGACTATACGTCATATTACTGACGATTCGATTGATTTTGAAAAAGACAATGCCTTGCTGAATCATCGCTTAGCCTGCTGACTTATTAAAACATAACTGATTCAATAACAAGCCATGTGTACCACATAAATATTATTGTGTTTTTCCAAATATTTAAACCCATTTTGTTAAAACTTCATGAGTAATTTGTATAAACAACAACTATTGAATCTCATAAATGAGCCTAAAAATAAACATTCAATTCTTAATACTTAGTGACATGAACATATAAGGCAACATTTGTTTTAATCAAATTAATAAAGTATAGACAACCAAAAGGAACAGTGCATGAATATGAGCTTGGAGTTACTCTGACAGGGCTTCACACATGAACAAACAGTTATACTCAAATAAGATACAAGGCAATGTATTTGAAAAAAATAAGATGTTATATATATCAATTGTAAAGGATTCTTACAAAATAGAAAAAAATGTAAATATGCTCTGTCCGAAACAACCTCGAAAGCAGCGAGTAAAACATTGGGCTTTATAGATTCCTCATCGTTCAGTGCGAGGTAGTGTGTAAGAAAGGTATGTGTAAAATCTTGCGAACTTAATCTCTTGTAATTTTTAGGGGAAACAATAATAATGTGGCTACATTATTGAAATCCTTGAATTATCATAGGTACCCTTCAAATGGCAAACAAATTTTAAAATACAGCATTATTTATGTCATAAATTATATATCAGGTGCAGGTTGGGTTCATCCATGACTTTGTATGCACTACCTCGCATTAAACGATGAGGGCACTATACACATTTTGCAGTATTCGCGGATTTCAAAGTACAGTAATTGCCTGTTAGCGACTTTCTGAAGTTTTGTGTTTGATCATACATGGGCATATTTGTTGTCCATCAGCCTGTTCATTATCGACATGCAAAGTGGAATGCGTACATGGTAGAAAGAACATCATTCGAAATTTGCTGAACCATTTCATCAGGATGATTTGGACAATAAGAAATGATTATTGTGACACGTCCAAATGTTAATTTACCTTAGTGACAATTTAAAGTGCATTAGCTGTCACCATGAACCTTGGAGTCCCATCTCTCTGGGTTTCGAAGGATACGGGCTTCCAGACAGGCACATTGGCTCTCTCAAGTGGTCTGTTACCAAGGATGATGTCTGCAGCCTTTTCTGCCATCATAATAGTTGGAGCATTGAGGTTGCCACTAACGATGCTGGGCATAATGGACGCATCCACCACTCTGAGATTTTCCACACCAAAGACTCGGGTGTTGCTGTCAACAACGGCCATAGGATCCTCTTCAGAACCCATTTTGCAGGTGCAGGATGGGTGGTAGATAGTCCCTCCGGTGGAACGGATAAAAGCGTCTAGGTCAGAATCAGACTGGACAGAGGAGCCGGGCATGAGCTCCTCCCCACGGAATTCATCCCATGCTGCCTGCGCAAAGATCTCTCGGGTGAGCTTGATGCCTTCTCTGAGTTCCCAACGGTCGATCTCAGTGTCGAGGTAATTTGGATCAATCAGAGGATGATCCTTAGGATCACGTGACTTGAGCTTGACGTATCCTCGACTGGTCTCTCTCAGTGTATTTATATGGGCCTGAAAGGCATGGCAATCGCCTTGTATTTGTCCGTGATCACTGGCTACTGAAGGCAAGAAGTGAAGCTGAATATCTGGGTGATCTATTCCAGTTCGACTCCTGAAGAACGCCCCTGCTTCAAAATGATTAGTGGCTCCTAGTCCAGTGTGAAACATAAACCATTCTAACCCGATGGCCACCATGATATGAGGAAACTTCCACTGAGCCTTGTATAATGTGATGGGTTTAGTGCAGCGGTACTGGACAATAACCTCCAGGTGATCCTGGAGGTTCTGTCCAACTCCTGGAACATGTGCAACCACTGGGATGCCATGCTCTTTTAGCTCATTTCCATTTCCTACACCAGACAGCATCAACAGTTGTGGGGAGTTAATTGCACCTCCACTTAAAATTACTTCTTGGGTTGCTCTTGCAACCTTCTTAGTCGTTTTACGTATATACTCAATTCCTACAGCTTTTGTTCCTTCAAATATAACCCTCTCGGCTAATGACCTTGACAGGACAGTGAGGTTCTTCCTCTTTCGGACATCACCTGATCGAAGATATGCGTTGGCTGTATTCCACCGTACACCATTGTGGACTGTCATATCCATGTATCCAAACCC